ACTCGTACTGGATTAGGGTCCACTCTGATGACCCCATTTAGCTTAATGACCTCTTTAAAGACCTGTCTCCAAATACAGTCACAGTCCGAGGGGCTGGGGATCAGGACTTCAATGTTTGTATTTTGGGGGGACACAGTTCAGCCCAGAACACACACACACACACACACACACACACACACATACACTTTCCAGAAGCTACATCATATGAATGGGAGAGTCACGTGAGCTGTTTTTGTTGTCGTTGCTGCTTGTGCGCATGCACTAAAACACGCTCCTCCACTTTTTGAGCAATGTCAAAGACCTGTGCCCATGCGTGAGTTTCCCTTGACTTTGGCCCTCAGTTTCCTTAACTGTAAAATGGGTTTGAACCAGTGAATCTCTCCTTTCCCTTTCTGTAGACAGTCTGTGGTGTTCCTTTCTCTTTGGGCTGGGGTTCGATTCCTTTTTTTTAATTTTCAGGTGGTCATTCATTTTACCGACGGGGTGGACGGAGATCTGGCAGATCTACACAGAGCCTCTGAGGACCTGCGACAGGAAGGTAGACGCCCTGCCCTCTAAGCACCAGCAGTGCGGCCAGGCGCGCAGGGCATGCGGCCCCGCCGGGGAGACACTCCTGTTCTCGGAGTCCTTTGAGGGAGCAGTTGGTCTTGGAGGACTCTTCCTCCAGCTCTTGGCCCTTCATGGCCCGCCTGGGGCTATGGGACGGGGCTTCCCGCCGAGGACAGCTTTACTGCCCTGTCCTGGCAAAGGCCCGTGGGTTCTCAGGCTTGTTCAGGTGGTAGAAAGCATGATGGTTTGCAAACGATCATGGAACGTCGATTCACTTGACTTCGTCATATAAAGTAGGATTTAGTATACTTGCAAAAAATATTGCTCTATTTTTGGTTTGTGGTTGACGCAGCTCAAAAACGCTACAACATTTAAATACAAATACATGTACATAACATAAATAATGTAAGCATTCGTGCCAAAAGTCAGGCGACTGGAGCCAGCCATGCCTGTTATCAGATGTGACATATGACTGTTCATTTACTTTGGAATTTGTTAACCCCGGCCATGAAAAGTGGACGCCAGTGCTAAAAGTTGAAGAAGAATTCATGGAAGTGCAGTTTAGCACAGGAACATTCTATTTATTGGCTTACTTTTCCGAAAGGAGACGGGACTGCTATGACCTGATTTTGGAGATGTTAGTGTTTCAGAGTTATGCACACCCGAGTTATGGAGGGCCAGGGTTGGAGAATTCATGCATAAATGTACTTCACGGGTGCCACTTTCTGTATTTATAGTGATAAGTTTAGTCATTGACATATCTGAAATTATTCAGTATTTCAACTACTGAAAGCAAAATTTTATACTGAAGTTTCCTTTAAAAAATAGCCAGGAGAAAAGACACTGCGGCTCTCCAGTGCCCGCATGGGCCCTGCCAAATTTGTCTTTCCCTGCAGGTGTCCGAGCTCTGATCCTGGTGGGCCTGGAACGCGTGGCCGACCTGGAGCGGGTGACCCAGCTGGAGTTCGGGCGAGGGTTCATGTACGACCGGCCTCTGAGGCTCAACCTGCTGGACCTGGATTACGAGCTGGCAGAGGAGCTCGTGAGTTCTCTTCAGTGCCTTTAAGCGCACACAAGTTCAGATTTTTGGCATCTCAAGAGGATAAAGTCAGTTATCACATGGTCATGGGGTAGGGTGTCTGGGTGGATAATCTAATTCATTTAGTTCACTGGGAACATGACTTATTGCCATGACACGTGTGGATCCCGGAACTGTCGCCCGTGACCAGCCGGAGCGTGGTCTGCAGGAATGCTGCTGTTGCCATGGGAACGCTGCTGTTGTCCTGGGATGTGCTTTGCTCCCCTTAGCAGGTGCCTCTTTTAACGTCCTTTCGCTCAGACTGTTCCTGGGAGGCAAACCGTGGTGACCGCCCATCTCCAGACAGGAAGCAATGCCCGGGGCTTCTGAAACCTACACGGTGCAAACAAGAATGTGCAGAAAAGAAGGGCCATTTCTGGGAGCAGAAGCGCTTTTATGGCCTTCTTCTCTAGTTCCCCTGGTGCGAATGGAGGTGCCCCAGGAGGCTTCCTAATCCTCCCCCTCCAGCCTCTTTCAACTCCGGGTGTCACCGTCTGGGTTTGGAGTAGGGGCGGGGCTCTGGGAGACATGGGGCTGCGTGGTGACCTCCAGACCCTGGAGGTCTTTGGTGGTGGCAATAGTTGGGTACGGCTACGTGAATGGGACGAACCGACTCTGCCTCTTCCTTCCCACCCGCCTTCTTCCCAGGGTGAGAATGAGGACTTTTTTATTGGGTGGAAGAAGGATGAGTTAGTTGACAAATCTGGAGAAAGAAAGCGAAAGCTCTAGGAAGCTCATTGCAAGGAGATGCGTGTGACCACTAGCACTTTAGCAGGTGGAAATGTATTCGGGCTGTGCACTTTACCCCAGAAGGTGAGGGGCGGGCTGGGACAGGAATGTCAAGGGTGTTTGGTAGGTGTTGGAGGCACTGTCGACCTAAAATTGTGGCGCTTGTGGCTCAAAAAGGCCGGGAACCCTGTGCCTGTCCCCGCTCCCACACCTGCTCCAGAGGTCTCCCCCGGGCATCTCCTCTGGGCTGGCACCATATTGTTGATGGTGACCATGGTTTCGAGGAAGGGCCCTGGATCTCTCTTCCAGACCCACCTTCAGTCCTGGCCGTCTGCAACTTGTCTGTTAGGTTTTGCACTTTGGAACTCAAACATATGTGAGTTATACTTAAGAATATCTATGTTGCAAACTTCCAGAAATCAGGTGTAGGCAGAGGTGACCTTGTGGATAAGATTTATCTTACTTTGGTTGTTCTTTACTCTCCCGTTGGTGACATCCCACTGCCTCTCGACTGCCAAGAGCTGGACCCTCGGCCTAGGCCGGTCTTGGAGGGACAGTCTTTGGAGTGACTTCACCTTGCCCCGCGGCACCCTCACACATCCGATTTTGGCCTCTTCAGCACATATTTATGGTTTTGTCCTGTGCATTTCTTGACATTTGCACTTTTTCTTTCTCTTCCTCTGGGTAGGACAACATCGCCGAGAAAGCTTGCTGCGGGGTCCCCTGCAAGTGCTCCGGACACAGGGGCGACCGTGGGCCCCTCGGCAGCATCGGGCCAAAGGTACGGTGGCTTGGCCTTCTTCGCCCGCCCCTGAGTCTAGGTGCTGGAAGGCCGGCGTCACCGCGGCCGGGCAATGCATCTAACGCCACGGCTGGAGGCGGATGAGGGAGAAGGAAGAGGACCCCACGCTGTAGAGGAGGCGTCCTGCGGGGCAGACCCGGGTGCTGGGGTGCCCAGGGTCCTCCCCGTGGAGATGGCTCTGCAGGGCCCGAGTGTCTGCCGCATTCTCCGCCCCCACGGGATGAGGGGCTCTGCTCTTTAACGTTCGGTCCTTCATGCCTTAAATGACGTTAGAACCAGCGGGTGTCGCCGACTGGCAGCCTCTCTGGGAGCCTGGTCTCGGGGACTCAGCCTCCCCGGCGGGGTGGGGAGGACCTCGATGGGCTTTCCTGGCAGAGGCAGAGCCTTGAGGGTCCGGACGGAGGAACAATCCCGCGCGGTAACGAGCGGGGGGCTGTGAGTTCCAGGAACCCCCTAACGCCAGGGCGGACGTCGGCGCTGCTCTGCCAGGCGAAGGGGCTGGCACAGACACGTGACACAGAGCGAAGGGGACTGGGGGCGTGACGAGCCCGCTGTGCTTTGTTTCAGGGCATCCCCGGAGAGGACGGCTACCGCGGCTACCCTGGTGATGAGGGTGGACCTGTGAGTAAAAGTCGTTTTAGCCCTTAAAGTTGTACCCCCTCCTCGTTCCTTGCCTGTTGGGATTGAACTGTGGGGTTCGCCATCGCTCCGGGGGGTCCGGCGCCCACACAGACCCAGGGCCCAGAGGCCCACCCATCCTTGGCCGCCAGGCAGTGGCGTTGGTGCTGCAGGGACGCCGAGAGGCTCCCCGGCCCCCCAGCCTTGCTCCGCGTCCCCGCAGTGAGATCTGATTTCTAACACCCGCCACTATCGGTGCTGCAAGCCCCTTGGAGACACGATGACAAGTGGCTCCAACTTGCCAACTGCCTTTGTTTTTCGCAACAGGGCGAGCGAGGTCCGCCTGGCGTGAACGGCACTCAGGGCTTCCAGGGCTGCCCGGGCCAGAGAGGAGTAAAGGTACAGTGGCAGGGGGCGGGAGGAGTGCTCGCCGAGCGTGGGGCGGGGGTCAGGCCAGCTGCATGTGCAGGAGGGACACGCAGTTTCTCCAAGTGCCCCGGGGAGGGGGCAGCTGCCCGTCCGGGCTCCTCTGCAGCCCGTGGCCTCTGGCTGGAAGGCAGCCTCGGTGGGGTGGCTCTGGGAGCTCGGGCCGCGGCTGGAAGGGAGCCGGAGAATGGAGAAATAGTTTCCTATGGAAACATGGAGCGGCCAGGAAACATTCCCGAGGAGAGGACGTGGGCCAGGGCAGAGGGGAGGCTGGTGCGCGCGGCTGCGGCCCCTGGCCCGGGGGCAGCCAGGGAGGGAGGAGTGACAGAGGACACCAGGTGGCTCGGGGGCTGGCGAGCTTCCTCCTCTGCTTGCTGGAGTGTGAAGGCAGGTGCCGGCGGGAGCTGCAAAGCCAGCCTGTGCCTCCCGAGCCCCTTCCCCTGGCTCGTGGGCCCCCCACTCCTGCCCGGCAGCCCAGGCCACCCCAGTGCTGCTTCTAGGCAAATTAGCCTTATCACCCCCACGTGATGCACCGAGGGGTGCAAAGGGATGATGAGTCCCTGACGTTAGCATTTCCCGACACTGCGGCATTAGATGGGGGGGTAGCACCAGGCCCGCAGGAAGAGCTAATGTGTCCCCTGTCCCCTTACCTTCCAGGGCTCTCGAGGATTCCCAGGAGAGAAGGTACCCAAGCTTGTTTTCGTTTCTGACGATGAAAAGTTTCCCAGTATTTCTCGTTTCTTCCTTTGCCGGAATAGCTTTCTACACTCACTCGACTGTCTCGGTCCCTCGTAGGGTGAAATAGGAGAGATCGGGCTGGACGGTCTCAACGGCGAGGAGGTGAGTGGTTCGCTCTCCAGGCCTGAGCTGCTTCGGGTTCTAACACCTGTGGTGACATTGCCCCAGGTGCGACCTCTCATCACTGTCGTTGGCAGGGAGACAAAGGATTGCCCGGCTCTTCTGGAGAGAAAGGGAACCCTGGAAGAAGGGTAGGTCTCTTTCCAGTGTTGCCGTTGTGGAAAGAATGGAAGCATTCATTTAGGGGAGAGTCATTTCCTATACCTGTATAGGTAGAGCCCGCTTCCTCCAGGCAGCCTTCCCTGACTTCCCCTGGGCTGTGCCGGTGCCCTCCTGTCAGCTCTGCCAGGATACGTCATACGCAGAGCACGTCCCACAGGGCCAGTGGCTGAGTTTGTTCTGTTATAAATAAAGCTCCAGCGCTTGGCACACGGGTCCCCAGTACATTATCTGTGAATTAACCGAATAAATAACAAATATTTGGAAGTGAAAATTTACCTTCGTGGCAGACACGTGAATGGTGAACATCATAAATCTATTTAAGATTTATGAACTGTGAAGAATGTGATGTTTAGGGTGAGGTACAAACGGAAACATCTCGTTTTTTAGCCTCCACTTGTGTTTTTTCATTTAGGGTGATAAAGGCCCCAAAGGGGACAAAGGAGAAAGAGGGGACGTTGGCATTCGCGGTGACCCGGTGAGGATTTCTTTCTTGACGGTTCAGAGCCGAGCCCGGGGAAGACAGTGGCGGCAGAGGGGGGAAGGGAAGACTTTCACTTCTGAAATTGCTTTAAAAATTATTGATAAAATGTGTGCTTTGTCTGTTCCTTACGCGTCTGGGGCTTTCTGGCAGATGATTCTGTTCTCTAGCCATAAAGATGAGCGAGTGCTGTGCGTCGCCCTAAAAGGTGGTCTCAGGACACCTTACACTTGCGTTTGGAAAAGAGAAGCGTTTGCCGCTTTTTCCGTTTCATGGCTTTGTGAAACCTCTAAGCAAACGGCGCCGCCCCTCCAGGCCACCCTGCCCTGCGGCCAAGGACAGGCAGGAGCCGGGGGCACGCTCCTCCCCGGGCAGAACCGGCGCCCTGTGGGGGGCCGGGCGGGCTCGCTGCCCCGTGGCCGGGTTCTGCAGAGTTGCACGCATGCTGTCTGGATGGGCTGTGGCCGCAGGGACTGTCCCTCGGAGCCTTGGGCTCATGCCGTCACCAATCCTTTCCCGACCGTCCCATTCCTGGCACTCGCAGCTCACCTCCCCCTGGTGTGTTGTTTGCAGGGTGAGTCAGGACGGGACAGCCAGCAGAGAGGACCCAAGGGAGAAACCGGTGACATCGGCCCCATGGTACGGCGCTCTGTGTTCTCAACTCTCCCTGTGCTGAGGGCCTGAGAGATGACACTCACCTTGGCACCTCGGCGGCCGCGGAGGCCACGGACTGGGCCTCTGACGCTGCAGAGCAGCGTGGGACGGGGAGTGGCAGGGCCGTGAGGCCGCCTGCGGGTGCACGTGGAGGAGGGGTCTCCCAGAGGAGCCAGGGCGACCCTTTCCAAGTGGGGCCTCTTCTCTGCCCCTTAGATAGTTATGGAAAGTGCTTGTTACGGCAAAGTCTTGCAGAGGTGGGAACGAACCAAAGTCTAGCGCACCCCGCAAAGTGTCCGACCACCGGCCTGCCGGCGGCTCTTCCGAGCGGATTCACCCCTTTTCCCGCCGTGCCTCCTGCAAAATTCCAGAGTCAGACGCTCCTTGCTGCAGATGGGAATCTCATGCTGATTTTCTCCCCCGCCCCAGGGTCTCCCAGGGAGAGACGGAGTATCTGGAAGTCCTGGAGAAAACGGGAGGAATGTGAGTGCCCTTAGGGCTTTGTGGGGGGGGGTTCCTCGGTAGAAACTTAGCGAGTACCCCATGATCTGCCCACCGCTACCTGGTGCCGGTTACTCAGCTGCGCTTTGTTTAGAAATTTTAAAGGGATCTCGGAAAGTGCTGTTACCCGAATCTTGCGGCTGATAGAGATTTTTCATTCTTACAATTTACCAGGTGCTCCATCTCTTCTCCCTCCCCCAGTCCTGTTTCCCTCCCCTCCCCCAAACACGCTGAACACATGCTTTAAAAACATTATCTTTGCTGCTTTCAAATATTTGGCCAGGGTTTATCTCACCAAATATTTGAGAAATCCGAAAGGAAATACTAACCTTGCGGTCCAAGGGAACGAGGGGTAAGAAGGCTGAAGTGGTTGTGTATTTGTTATTATTTTAATAATTATCTATTTTGCTGTAACTGAAATAAGGAAACTAGGTTTGTTTTTTATTTCTAGTGTATTGCATCTTCAATTGCTTTTAAAAGAAATTTCGGACATGTCTGTTGCAGAATAGTTCATTGCGCGCCCAATCTCTCAGTCCTGCAGAAGAAATGCTAGAGCCCATGTGGTAGACACGATCTGCAGGAAGCCATCTGAGAGCTTGTGGGGCCCAGGGGCACAGAGGGGGTGGCCCTCATAGCTGGGAGAAGCAGCTCCCTGCGAGGGGCGGCCGAGGTCTGGACGTTTGCAGATCCTCAAGGGAGTTCAGTTCGCTGATGCCTGCCTAGGGCAGGACTCTGCTCAGAAATGAATGGAGCACAAAAGCTGCAAGCCAGGCTGGGCAGCTGAGAACGTGGCCCCTCGGCCACTTCCCGAGGAGGGCCGCACACCCGGCCCCGGCAGCTGGGCCAGTCGAGCACGCCGAGGGGAGGGGCTTTCAAAAGAAAGGACTCCCCAAAACCAAACGATGCACTTTGGGCATCACTTTGCTTTTAAAATTCAGAAGAAAACTTAGACTTTGAAAATATGGGTCTAAAAGGTTTGCGCTTTATTTTTGAATAATGATGTGGCAGTTTCAACTCAGCTCGTGAGCAGAGCCAAACTCGGTTTCCTGAGACGGCTGAGAATGTAGCAGTGTGCACAATGTGCTCCAACTCTGTGTACAACGTGGACCGTTGGTTTTGAATCCAGTTACAGTCAAGGGCTCTTGGAGACTCAGTTCTTTCTTTCTAAGCAGGGCAAGGACTGGCCCAGTGGTTCCCTAGCCCCGCTCTGAGGACCGTGCCATTCCAGGCTCAGCCCAGGGTGGAATGTGTGCCGGTGGGCCCTGAGCCAGCTCCAGCACGTCTCCTTGGGCAGGGGCTGGGCCAGATGGTTACTCTGTGGAGGGGAGCAGTGACCCTTCCCCGACTCCCAAATTTCTCCGTGGAAGGTGGCCAAGGTCTTCCACTGACGCGGCTGGCATTACAGCGAATAATGGCAACGTAGTCACCCGAGAAGATCACCGGGCTGGGCCCCGGGGATCGGAGAATGTGGTTCTCTGGTTGGGGTAGTGGACGGGCCAGACCCCGCGACAGAGCTGGCCCGCCGCTGTCTCTGGAATGCCCACCCTGCAGACACAGCCCGGGACATCCGCGGACTCCCACCCGAACTCTCTGCCGCGGAGGAAGCAGTCATGAGCTGGGAGTCACTGGCTCGCTGACCAAGCGAGCCCACGTGCTCGCACTAAGGGTCACCTCTGCAGCGTCCAGGGAGATGTTGCCAAGTCATGAGCCCAACCTGAGCACAGGAGGCTTCCAGGTTCACATGTGTGCGTTTTGGATGCTTCTCTGGGTCTGTGTTGTACTTGGCCTGGAGAATTCGGAGAATCTGGGACTCCCTTCCATCATAGCGAATGGATTTCGTGCCTTCTCACTACAGTTAGGAAAAGGGAAGGAAAACTTTAGACAGGTTGACATTGCCTCTTCACGCTCCTCATTTGACGCTGGCAGGGGGCGTGAGCCAGAAGAAGTCATTGTTTTGCTTGGCGGGTCTGCGGCGATTCTCAGAACTGCCACTGGGGCGATGAACAGGCCCAGGGAGGACACAAAGCGTCACCCAGACGGGGCGGAGGACCTTGTCCCTGTGCTCCCCCAGGGCCGCTGAGGCAGTTTCTGGCTTCCGGCACAAAGCAGGTGCTCGGAAGGTCCGAGGTCCCCCGAGCAAGCGAAATATTCAAGGGTTAAGTCTCAGGGAGCCCCAGGCCCTGCGCCGGGTCCCATTCTTCCCGCTCACGGCTCATGTGGGTTTTTTCCTTCCTCAGGGCGGCTTTGGCCGACGGGGCCCCGCAGGAGCTAAGGTAAGCCTCTGGGGTCGGTGGTCGCAACGTTGCTCACGGAGAGCTCCCAGGGGACTGTCCTTCCATGGCCCAGGTCCCACCCAGCCCAGGAATTAAAAACTGCTCTCTCCTGGGGGTGTCAAGGCACCTGTGCTCCAGTAGCAGCTACCATCTCCTGTCACCCGGCCTCCTCTGCAAGGCCTGGGGAAGGCGGTTCCCCGTGAGCCCCGGGTGAGAGGAGGGAGAGACTCCCGGGGAGGCCGAGTGCAGGCCGCCTCCCCGCCAGGACGTGCCCGCCTGCCCGGCCGTCCGCAAGCTGCGCTTCCCGGTGTCTCAGTCCCCCACCCGGGCAAGGCGGGTGCAGGTCCGCGAAGCCGTGGTGAGGAACAGGTGGGAAACGATTGCGGACAGACGTGCAGAGAGACACAGATGATGTGATGACCTGAAGCCCCCGAGAGCGGCGTGTTCCCCGGCCGATCCCCAAGCCCCTAGTCCAGAAATGCCGGGGGGAGGGGGACAGAGAGCCGACGTGGATCGCACCTATCCTGATCCCCCTGTGCCTTCTCTTGTTTCAAAGGGCAACAAGGGCAATCCAGGCCAGCCCGGCTTCGAGGGGGAGCAGGGGACCCGAGGCGCCCAGGTCAGTACTCCCCGAGCCATCGCACGCCCCGGGATATTTTCCCACATTCCCTGGTATTGTCCTTTTTAAAAGCGATGTTTGTCTAACACAAAATGAACCGTTTTAAAGCGAGCAATTCAGTGGCATTTAGTACTTTCACAGTGGTGTGCAAACATCACCTCTGTCCAGTTTCAAAACATTTTCCTCCTCCCCAAAGGAGACCCTGTCCCCATCAGCGGTCCCTCCCCATCACCCTCCACCCCAGCCCCTGGCAGCCACCAACCTTCTTCCTGTCTTTGTGGCTTTGCCTATTCGGGACGTTTCATACAAATGGAGTCATCTAACAGGTGGCCGTGTGCATTTGGATTTCTTCACCGAGCATAGTGTTTTGAGGTTCATCTGTGTCATGGCAGGTACCAGGACTCCACTCCTTTTCATGGCTGAATAATATTCCCTTGTACGGATACAGCACAATCTGTTCATTCACTTGGTGATTGACGGACGTTTGGGTTGTTTCCACTGTCTGGCTACTGTGAATATCGCCGCTGTGGACATTCATGCTCGAGTTCGTGTTTGAAATTACAGTGGCCTTTTCCTTCCTCAGGGCCCAGCTGGTCCCACGGGTCCTCCAGGCTTGATAGGAGAACAAGGCATTCCTGGAGCTCGGGTGAGCCTGTCCTCATTCCACCCCGCCCCGCTGCTAAGCAGAGTGCAGGTGGCCAAGCAGGCCGGGAGCTTCTTGGGTGCTGCTGCTGCAGGCAGACTGCCCTCTAGCCCCCCTCTTTGGCAACCAGACCCCCCATCCAGCCTCAGCCCTCCCACTGGCTGGCTACTTCACCCCAAGGAAGCAAGAGTCCCCTTTCCTTGGTGTTCCAGGGGCTTCTAATGCCTAATATAGTCCTTTCAAAATAGGCTCCAGGGTGGTAAGCAAGGGAACATTTGCCTCATTTCAGAAGTCTCAGGAAGGAATTGCATAAAAATCTAAATCTACTAAAATTCTTAGATTGTGCCGAGTGTTTCATGCTTGGCTCCTGTGGTTCAGTATTTTGTATAAGGAATTGCTCAAGTTTTATCTTCAAGTTCAGCACAGAAGGTGTGCTGTGGCCACAGACGTTTGCATAGATTGTAGCTATCAGCAACGATCAGCAGAAGCACCTTGCTGTTGCTGGGCTGGGGTCAGGTGCCGAGGAGCTACGTACAGATAACCGGCTTTCGCATCTGAGATGACATGTAGGGAGACGTCCTCTCATTTGTTACAGAAAAAATAATGACGAATGAACTGGAAACGGGCTGGTCTGTTGCTACATAAATGCAAAAACATTTTTTTACAGTGGAAGCAGGCAGGAATTTGCTTAGAAAGCCCTTATCTAGCTCGAGAACTGATAATAATCTATTTTTAAAGCTTTTGTGAGATTTTAGAAAACACTTATCTAACTTCTAGTTAATCAAGAATGTAAGCTGGCCTAGACACAAAGCTGTTCGAATAGTCAGCCAATAGCCCCAGAGACATTTTTTGATTTGTGTTCCGCCACTGCCTGTCTCAGGGGCATTTCTGGGCTGTGTAGGCTGCACCACGTTTCACAAGTCAGTTTCGTTCATTGCTTTATTCATTCACCAACATGGCAAATTCACTACAGGTTTATGTACCTGTATACATCAGGTGCTCATCGTGGGGGTATAAAAGGGAACGGGAACAAAGTCACGTCAAATCTGGGGGCTTGTTGTCCAGGCAGGAACCTACGACATGTATGTTAATAATTGCAATCTGCATTAATTTGTGTAAACTGGCGCTGAGAGGTAATGCTAGTGTTTTAAATCTGCACAGGCCATTTCCACGCATGTTTGTATCGAGTCTGTAGCCCCGTGTGC